CCACCACCACCACCAGGACCAGCACAACGACCACTACAACGACTACCACCACGACCAGCGCAATAACCGCCACAACTATCGCTACCACCACCACCGCCGCGGACGCTGCCACCACTACAACCATCAGCATGAGCACGCAAGCAACCACCACAAGCACAACCACGACGACCACGGGCCTCACCACGACCACGGGCCTCACCACGGCCACGACCGCCACGGCAATGACCACCACCATCGCCTCCACCTCTAAAGTCATATCTACAACCCAGCGTGCAAAGCCATCTGAGTCACTGGGCCTGACATGGACATGGGGTATGCTTGCCTCATAGCTTATCCTGGGTGGAAATTGCTCTTTCCAGTGCTCTTGTTGGAAAAGGCCTATTCTCGAAAGGCGTTGGCCCGTTGCGTTGTGCTGCGCTATGACTAAGGGAAGTTCCACTCTCTGACCGTCCAGTATGTGATGGTGGCGCTGTACCTCAGGACCCTTTGTGCAGTGATGATGCACCAAACTCATTCCCATCCCCAAACCATGATGACGCCCCAGTGCATAAGGTGGTCTCAGTGTCCATGTCCAAGCTAATGTAATACTAACGTCCATCCCTCAGCACTTGCAGTGATCAGAGCATCCATGTCTAAACTGAAATCATCGCGCGCATACTATTACCAGAATATCCATCTCCCAACCACATCATGCCTATCCATGAGCGCGTCACCACGGCATCCATACACAAATCATCATGACATATCATGGCCGCCATCCCCAGCGCACACCAGCTATGCGCAAACATGCACGAACTCTAGTGACGTCCATCCTCGAGCGCATATGCGACCAGAACATCTATGCATCTATGTACCCACAGTCTTCATCCCGAGTGCTAGTGCAAAGCTGACTGTAGAAGGTTGACTCTCATGCTTGTAGCTGTTGAGCTGCAGCTTTTGTGTTTGGAGTGGTGCAATACGTGCCACTCTGGGGACGTGATACTTGCTACTACGGTTTTTCGGCGACTGAAGCCTTAAAGCTTGAGCTTAATCGTAGGTGGAGCTCGAAGGGGGCCTGTGTGTTCACAGAGGACATCCTCCTTTCAGTTGCGCGCCAGGTGCCCTTGCTGCTCTGGGATCGACTGCTGTACTCTATGGGGTTGGGCGAGGCCCTCGCTTTGATCCCCCTGCTGCCTGAGAGGCGGCCTGCATGTCAGGAGTCGCCTGTGGTCTAGGAACAAATCCCGCACAAAGAATGTGAGCGAACAGCAGCGCACCAAGGCTTGTGGAGACGCGACTTCCTTTGACAAGAAGGAGTCCTCCTGCCGAGGTAGGGAAAGATAAAAAGAAAAGGAAGAAGGCCAAGTGAGACCCCACGCACCGTGCAGGGCGTCGACGCCAACGGATGGAGTCCCCCAGTCGAGACGTGCGTTGCCAGCTTGCAGATCAAGAGGTTGACTTGGGGAGCAGGGGCATCGAGCCTTTTCTGCGTGGGTCGCATTAATGAGTGCGCCTTATGGAGAGAGCCCTACCTTGGACGCGACGAGACTCCCGGGGAGCTACGGCTGGGGACGTGGCGCAATGGAAAAGGAAAGAACAAAAGAAAGGCGGAAAAGGATCGAGAAGACTGGAAGAAGGAAGAGGAGGCAAAAAATTATGGTCGAGGGCGATGGCCCTGCTGTGAGGCCGTGATCCCCGCTTCCTGACGGGGTTGCAGCGCCTCATTTCCCTGCGGGCCTATGCCCCTGTGCTGTGTGAAGCTTGGAGGGCCTGCCCTGGGAACATGTTCAGTTTTCGAGCGAGCTCAGTGAAAATTGCTGGCTGTACTGCATGCGCGCCACAAATTGGCCTGGTGGCTAGCCTCATCGCAACCGGCAGCCGGACCGTGGAGACGTGGCTGGCCGCAGTTGTGAAATAGAGTGTACGGTCCGCTTGCAAGCCCGTACCTCTTGACCAAGTGGGGGACCGTTGTTGCATGGCGACCAGACGGAATCAACATCTCCACGTCTCAACGTTTTAGGACGAACACTTCACCTGTTGTTGCGCACATCCAAATCCGTATGGCTAGCCAGGCGAAAAAGATGAGAGGCCAAGGTCTGCGTGCGGGACTGAACTCGCCCCAGCTTTTGAACATGCCAAGAGAGGCATTGACACCCAGCCCAGAGCAACCTGGCATGAGCCCCAGCCTTCCTAGCAAGGTTGCAACAGCAGGTTCAGCTAAGTGAGGAAGCTTCCCACCTACGCAAACGAGATCATTGCAAGGCTCTCTCCAACTAACCTGAGGCGCGTGTGTTCCAGCAGCTGCTTGTTGTTCTTGCGCTGGCCAGCTTGCAGGCACGACAGCGCGTGCCCTGTGAAGAAAACCGTCAGCAGCTCCCACTCTGAAACATTGGCGCGCCGAAAGTTGATTCCATCGCTGAGGAGGAGCCGCTCTGTGTACTGGCAAGGCGGAAAACAAAAATTCGTCGGCCTCCCAAGGGGCCACTGCGACAGAAGAAGGAGTTCTTGCTGTGGCGTAATGGTTTCTTGGGACGCTCTTCGTGAAGGTGGGCATTCTGCCATCACAGGAAACCCGCTTCCAACAGGGTAGGTGTTAAGCGTCGCTCATCAGGAGGCCCTTGGCCCCACATCTTCAGTGAACTGGCTTTTGTACTTGACCTCATGGCCTCCGTAACCCGCAAGAGAAGCAGCGCATGACATCGGCAGGGCCCAAGCGCAGCGGTGAAGTTCCCACCCATCGCCTTAATCTCATTTCGCGCACTCACGTCCATGGACATGACGTTTTCGAGGACTTATCGAAGCTTAAACAAGCTCAAGAAAAAACTGAGCAGGTCTCTGATTTCCATAAGGCGAAAGAAGAAGTTGGACCCATCTCCGCCCGAGTTCTGACTGTCGCTTCGAGCGGATGGAAGATGAACGCAAGGAAAGCCTCCCCCAAGACGATCTTCTTCCACACTGGAGAGCCGGATCATCGCGCGAGGCCATGTCAAGCTCGTTATACTGGGCAGGTTTGGAACACTCCGCTGCAATGAGACCTGTGGGCGAAAGTCCCAACAAGTCGTATGCTCTGAAAGCACCGCCTACGCCATTGACGAGAGAAACTACTAGCGCGGGAGCGCGGGAATCTCACGGCTCGCATTGCCAGGTGTGTCTAAAAAGGCAGCAAGGAACACCCCGACCAACTCAGTCCATGTCCAACACAGAAGGCCCTCTAGACTTTGACGCGTCAGACGCAATGACCACTGCGCTGATCGGGCGGCGCAAGTCTGCTATAACCAACGCAAGACAACACCTCATATCATCTGAATCGAGGCTCGGCCCAACACATGAGACAAAGGACCATCCGCGTAACTGGCTCTCCAAACGTCACTGAAGCAAGCAAACGCCGGTTGACGGAACTAAATGAGGAAGGCCCGCCGGCCCGCCCAACTCCCAACACCTGGAGTTCCTCGTTGGGGCCTTTGCGCAAAACAGAAAGACATCTGGGAAAGAACATAGTTCATCTTGTGGACAGCCTTGTGGATCTCTGAGCCTTCTCGCATTTTTCGGCTTTCAGTAAGCAAATTAATGGGCATGTTCTTGCCAGGTCTGTCAGCTTGGTTTTGAGCCACGTGGATAGCGGGGCCAACCATGCAGATTCTGCAGATAAGGGCAGGCTGCGATGGTGCACAGGCGCCCACGACAAAGTACCAGCCTGGCTTATTCGTCCACTCAGCTTCGAACTTGGGGCAGCACCGACATTTGCAACTTTCGAAGTGTCTCTTCAAAACTTGGGAACGATTCGAGCCTCCCCATTGCCCAGCCTGCTCGCCTCTGCCATGCTAGCACGCTGCGTCGAGCAAGGCTGGCTGGCTGCTGTGGAGGGGCTGGGCTTTCATGGCCTCTCTCATTTGGAATTGTAACTTTGTGAGCTGGTCCTCTCTCACATCCAGGCGTCTGTCAGCCTTCGTCTCACCAAAACCCGCCGCAGGCATGGCGCCTCTGAAGCCTTTCCTATCTTTGATAAGTGGCTCCTGTGTACGCTGCGCACTGTTGCAAGTACGCGGTGCCAATGCGCAGCCAATGTAAAATCACCCAGCGCAGAGTTTCTGCCGGCATTTCAGTGAGTTTTGCCGCTTTTTCAACTTTCCTGCCAACATGTTTTACCCCTATTCCTTCGGACGAGGCCGGGGAACTTTTCTCTTACAGCAAGGAGTGACCCTGGAACACAGATTGCTTCGAGGCCGCTGGCGTTCCCATAACGTTCCAGAATTTACCTTGCAGAAATTGGTGTCTCCGAGTCAACCCACTGCTTGATGTCCCAGTACAGTTCCAGTACCAGGCTCAATTCACAGCTCCGCCGTGAAAGGGCTGGGTAAAACAAAGGAGCGGACAAAGGGATCATGCGTTGGTATGTGTGGTCAGAGAGACTTTTTTGAAAGATCCTGCCTACTTGTTGCACTAGGCGAGATGAGGAAATCCGGGCCTGTTGGAGCATAACTCGAATGCAGCAATCAGAAGACCCAAACTGCGACCGATATAGGAATGCTGAGCGCTGTTTGTAAAAGGTTGCCACTCATGCTCGTAGCTTTTGGGCTGCGCCGCCGCCGCCTACCATCTGTGACGCTCTTGTGAAGCCACAGGAAGAGAACACAGTTCCGTCGTTTGCTGGGTTTCCTCATGTCCTGCGCCTGGCGGCGGCTGGGCGCGGGAAAATCGTTTTATATTCTTTTTCCTGTAAACAGAGAGGAAGAGGGACGGGGCCCGCGGGCAATCTTCCGCTTTTAGTTTTTCCTGCGCCTGACTGCCATCAGGCGCAGGCAATGCAGAAGACTACCTTGTGGGCTTGCCCCGTCCCCTCTCCCTTCTTTTCTCCTTTCCCTGTCATGAGAGGAGAGAAGAGAGCGGACGGTGCCCGCATGGCGCCGGGTGCAGGATTACCATACAGGTTTGCTCCATCCCTTCTCCCTGTCTCCTCTCCTCTCCTCATCTCCTTCTTTTCTCGTCTCCTCTTCCCCAGAGGAGATGGGGGAGGGCAGGGGACCCGCATGGTAATCTTGTGCGCCTGGTGCCCGTCAAACGCAGGAAAATGAAAAGCGGAAGTTTACCAGGCGGGTTAATGGAACCCTTTAGCAAGAAGTCCTGGCACAGGTGACAGTGGTTGTGCTGGCCAGGGCGGGCAGTGAGCCTGAGCCGGCTGACACCCTGAGGAACTAAAAAAAATGGGGTTGCAGTATGTATGCGGTAAGTTCTGTTCGATTCCATGCGTCAAAATATTCGGTTCGTAGTTGAGTCCGTAGCAGTGCTATTCAGCGGTTCTTACGGGTTCATATAATCTTCCGGATGTTTTAAAATTGGGCAGCCCGACACGGGACATCCTAAATTGGATGCGCACAGTCGCACAACGGACTGTTTTGGTGATTGCACGTGAGAATGGACGCCAACTACTTCTGCTATGGATGTTCTGGTGACCACATGCGCTCGGGCATGGACGTCGTTTGGTTGCAGCATGGAAGTTCCGGTGACCTTATGCACTGTCACACCGTTAGGGCATGGATGTTCTGGTGGCCACGCCCTCTTGAGATGAACGTCGGTGTGGCTCGGGCCTGGATGTTCTGGTGAACGCTCCCCGAGCGCACACGATCACCGTAGATGGTCTAGTCCAGTGATTCTGATGACGGTATGCGCTCAGAGATGGACATCATGTTGACGTTGGACTTGGACATGGATGTTCCGGTGACTGTACGCCGCTTTGGGATGGACGACTACGGCTTATAATAGTTGCTACCGCAACGATTCTTAAATACCCAGCCATTAAACCAGATTAAATAGGTATCTCAAGCAATCTTCGACAGAAAGTGACTTTTTGCAAGTTTGGCACTCAGAACAAATTACACTGCAATTGCTAGTCTTACGTAACTCCTGTTCAACATACATCCAGCCGGGACTGTCCTGGATAGCACTGCAATCAATGTTGCTTTGCGAGGTTGAAGGACACTTGAGCCCCGGCAACCAATTGGTGCTGGATGCAGGCGCCTAGATGATTTGTCAGCGGCATGCGAATTGTTGCGGCAGTACACAGGCTGCCGCTATGACGTATGGGACGGCCACGCTGCAACCAGATGCTTGCAGCTTGGAATGCAGATGCGACAAAGCCAGGACATGGCTGGATTAAGCGAATGCGATTATTTTCAGGTCGGGCAGCTGGATGGTGATTCAGGCCCTTGCCTAATTCCACGTGCAGGGCCAGCTTGGTAGTGGAAATCTGCATTCACACTCCTTGGCAGGGAGCTTCGAACGGGCTTCTAATGTTCCACACGCTGCTGATGATGTCACTGCTCTGCATTCGAGCATGCCCACTGAACCAGCAGGCAAGGACCATCGCTTTTACTGGTTCTGTTCAGGTGCGTTTCAATCTTGCTTCGAATTGAGTAGCAGCGCATTGCGAGTTCTGGTAAGCATGGCGCCACTGAAATCACATTGGGCATCATGTCATCAAAGTAGAGGGCGCAGCAAGCGCAAGTGAGCTTGCACCTCGTCTCAGGCTCAGTGTGCCATCGGCGAATCGTATTCGGTCTGGGCGATTTGGTGGTCGAGCGGCAGCCTGCCACTATGGATCATTTTTTTTTGCACCTACGCACCGCGCACTGTTGCGCAAGAGTAACGCGCAAAACGTCATTTCGTTTAATGTTGAGCTGACAATAAAAGTCCCGCCCAAATCTTGTTTTGCGTTTTTGGTCTATGGCCACGGGGGATCTATTCAAGTCGGGATATTTTCGGGCAGACAGTATTATCATCGTCACCCCTTTGTTATTGCTGTTGGAACTTGTTTATATCTTTTCGGGCTCCAAACTTGTCAGAAAGCAAACATAACACACTATTGTCACCCCTTTACTAATGTTAGCTCAGCATTAGTGTCCTTCCGCTGGATTGCAGCTTCAGTGCAGAAATTATGTGTGCTCATATGCGCTCTGAACGTAGCTGATTCACCCACACGAGTAGCTCCCTGCATTAGATCCAGAACACACCTCGACTGAAATGTGCTACGCATCCCTGGGAAACTCACGAGGTTTGTTTGCAGACTTGGACCACGCATTGAGGCACTACTGTGCAACATGTCCCGCCTAACATTTCAAGTGATGGTAAACAGATTTCATGTGACTTTAAATGGATCCAGTCGTTCAATGAGATTTAGCTAGACTTTAGTCTATTAGATTTATCATGGAAACTATGTTTCCTTACGATCAAAACCCAGAGAACTCTTGTTAGGGGGAGACTTGTCATTACTGCCAGCTTAATATTCGCGAGTTCCTAGCACTTACCAGCATTTCCAGGAGTCGGCATACTCTTGACCATTCTAGTGTTTGCTATTTTTCACAAGACGTACTGCATATTCCAAATGGACTATTGTAGTCCACTGTTTTGTTTTTGGTGGGGGGTCCATTGTCCAGGAATCTGAGGATCCTGGAGTCATGGGGGTTCCGGAAAGCCAGAGGTTGTGTACACATCCTGTATTGAACAGTGTAAACAGTCATAGGGATCGTGAGGGTCGGGGTCGGGATACTCCGAACTGTCGTCCTTGTTGGGCCATTGGATCCTCTTGGAGT